ACACACACACACACACACACACACACACACACACACACACACACACATATACAGTGTACAGAGTGCTGGGCCTGGAGTCAGAAACACAACTCCGTGATTTCAAATCTGGCCTCAAACACTTACTAGCTGTATGGCCCTGAATAAGTCACTTAATTTTGTTTTGCCTCAGTTTCCTCATCTGTAAAATGAGCTGGAGAAAGAAATGGCAAACCACTCCAGTGTCTTTGCCAAGAAAACCCCTAATGGGGTCATGAGGAGTTAGGCATGACTAAAACAAATGAACAACAATGCCTACACCTACAGTACAGGGGTGAGCTATAGTTGATTACCTAGCAAAAGAAAGTGAGGAATTGTGAAACAGGTTGGTGAAGAACCAATGCAGTGCTGTGTTATGAAAACCCAGAGAGAAGAGTTATCTAGGAGGAGAGGGAGGTCAACTGCATCAACTGCTGCATAGAAGTCAAGAAGAGTGAGGACTGAGAAAAGCCTATGAAATTTGGCAATTATAAGATTATTGGCAATTTTAGAGAGAAGGTTTTGTTGGATTTTGACTCTGAAAGGGAGGAAAGATATAGGAGAATAACCTGAGCAACTGATAGTGGGTAAAGTAAGGGTTTTTTTAAGGACAAAGTCAAGTATTACACAAAATATCTGAGACACTTGTAGGAAAAAAAAAAAAAACCTGAACGGTGTTAGATTTAGGTGCAGAGTGAGTTTTATATTATAGTAGGAAACATATTGTGGTCATCTGGAAATACAAGATAGAAGGAAAAGACCTTGAAGTAAAGGCTGAAAGACCACTTGTCCCGTTGTAATGGGGATTCTTCTCCTTATGGGTTAGATAGCTACTCACCTTCATACTCTAAAATTCTGTGTGAGAGCCAGGGTAGAGATGTAGAACTGGGAATCATCAGCATAGAAGAAACCATAGAGTTCTAGGAAATCTTCCTGGCACAGGACAGCAGCTCTGTCCAATAACTCTAAAAGCTTAAAAAATTTCCTTTGCCTCTATAGGCCTCAGTTTTTCTACTGCAAAATGATATGGCTGGCCTATATTATTTTTTAAATTAAATTTTATTTTTAATTATAAAGTATTTCTTTCTTTCTCTCTCCCATTTCGCTTGCCCTGCTGAAAAAGAAAAACAAAATCCTTGACACAGATGAGTAATAGTCAAGCAAAACAAATTCCTGTATCAGTCATGACCAAAATGGTATCTCATTCTGCATAGTATGGTCTAGATTAACTTCCAAAGTTCCTTAAAACACTGACATTCTACAGACTACCGTGTTATAGTTACCTACCTTAAAAGCAAATAAGCTTAGGAGCGATAGGCATTCAGGGTTGTCACCCACAGTGACATTCTGAGAGATCACCTAGTCATTACACATTACATATATATTATACATACAATACACATTATACAGATGAAGAAAACGACTCCCAAGAGAAAAGAAGCGACTTGTTTCGAGTCACAGCTTCCTCCTAGCTAGAAACCCAGGGGTCTTCTCACTGCACTACTTCTTCTGGGAGACGCCAAGTAGAGGAGAGAGTTTCAATTGTTTCTAAATTTAAATAGGATGGGATACACATCGAGAAACTTCCTTTAAAAACCACACCTCCACCAAAAGAGGGGCAGCTTGGCTTAGTAGCTGGAGACAGGAAAAATTCGGTTCTATTTCCGCCTCCGCCTCATACTGGCTGGGCCACCTGGGCAACCCCCAGGACTGTACAGAGAGGGCCGGGAACGCGCGGACCTCCGCTAGAACAAGTTTTAAATTCTGTATGTTCCTGAAATCACAAGTCCACGCCCTACGCCTAATTCCATCTAAAAAAAGAAGGCCTTATTTCAGGAGGTTCTGTAAACTCCTTTTTTCCCTTATCTCCTTGTTCTTCCAGTCTGCCGCCTCCCCCTCCCACAACCCACAGTGCGCATGCGTGCGCTGTTACACCTCCCCTGCCCCGCCCTGCGGGAAGCGGGTCCTCCCCTTTCACCGCCCCCCCCACTCCCTTCCGCTTCACCTGTCCTGCCCGCGTGACGCATCTCGCCCCGGAACCAGCACCTGAAGGCGGGTTGCCGTGAGCGGCTCCATTAGTCCCCGAGGCGGGAGGGGCCAGCCCTCAGCCGGCTGTACAGGAAGAGGCGGCGGGAAGTGGCCGCGGCTCCAGGACCCGCTGACCGGACGGGCCTCCGTCGCCGCCGTCGTGACAGGTGGGAAGCGAGGACGCTGGGGACGCTCGTGACCCCGCCTCCCTCCGGACCCCCCATCCCTCCCGCCTCTGGAGCGCGCGCGGGGCGCGGGCCTCTGAGTCTCCCCTCCCCCCCCGCCCTGGCCGTGAAGGGGCCAGGATGCCCGTTACCTTGACAGAAGGGCATCCGGGGAGACCCATGTTTTCCCCATGAACGTAGTGGAAAACCGGTGGTCTACACCGGCTTCCCCTTGCTCCTACACCTCGGTCCAACCCCAGAGCGTCTGGTGTAGCCCCAGGTGCAACCTATAGAGGCTGGTGTGGGAGGGGGTCATTCTAGTATTGATGGCATCGATAGTTCTCATTTATCAAGTGCTTGAACATCTCATTTGATCCTCACAAACTACCCTAACAGCCCTATTTTACAGAGGAGGAAACAGAGGCAGACAGTTTCAGTGACTTGCCCAGGATCCAGTATGTGTCTTAGTCGGAATTTTAACCCAGATCTACCTTACTCCGGCTCCGGGTTCTACACATTAAACGCTACCTAACTGCTTTGGGCGCTCCCCTGAGATATCATCTTGTTTGTCT